AGAGCAAGTCCAGGGATGCCCAGGGACACGCGGGTAGAAAAGGTCAGAGTTGTTCAGCAGGACAGGACAAGGGTGACGAGAAGACTCGCGTTCGGTGGCTACCCACAGCCAAGCAGCAGCCTTGGAAGCCGTCAGAGAACCCCTGGGCTCTAGGTAGGGTGAATGCAGGACAGTGCCAGACACACTGGGGGGTTCCAAGGACACAGGACTCTCGATGCTAAGACCAAGAATGTCCAACCAGGATGAGTTGGTCGACTCTGCCCCAGGACATTTGGTATCCGCCCCATCGGAAGCAGACAGGGAACCCAGCTGGGGTCAACCACAGAGCCCTCCCCATAGGGGCCCTTCTCGTCCAATACCCACATGGTCTTATGCACCAGCCTGGCAATGCCGAATGCAGAGCTCCATGTGACTTGGGCCTTTTTTGGGCCCTCTTGAGCCACGGACATGTCCCCAGACTCTGGGAAGAGTTGAGCAGAGAACAGAAACTCCGAACTGCACACTGGCTACTTGGTATGAGCGTGGACAATTCACCCCCAGCTTCTGAGCCTCGGTTTCTTCATCTGTAAATAGGGACCACAAAAAAACGGCTGCTTCCTAGGGTTAGTGTTGGGATGAAGTGAGTTGAAAACCAAGCAGAGCCCAGAGCCCGTGGGACAGACCCTGTCTCTTGGGGCTGTGCATTAAAATCTCTGAACCTAAATGTTACCCATAATGATTTATGAGTATTTTCAACCCTGGCTAAGGGTGGACCCTGGACCAGCAGCAATGACTCCCCAGGTGCTGGCTAGAAATGCTGATTCTCATGACAGCAGGTGACGGCAAGATGGGACGGATCCCAGGATTTGGGAGTCGCTTGCTCTGGCCCCGCGGATGCTCCTGGGCTGCATGTTCCAATTCCCCAGCTTCTATCCCCAGATGCAGATGGAATCATCAGGACAGCTTTTAAAGAAACCCTGGTACCCACTGAAAAATAAAAACCCCACCTGCTTTCATTTAGAGGAGGAAGTCCAAAAAAAATAAAGTTGATATATTAGAATTGGAGAACAGTGGTTATCAAGGGCTGGAAGGGCTTGGAGGAGGAGGGTGGAGAGAGAATGGGTGAAGGGCTGGGTGCAGGGGACAGGAAAAGTGACCTCTGGCATTCCATAGCACAGTGGGGTAACTGTGGTGGGCAACAATTAACCCTATCTTTCAAAACAGCTCGTAGAGAAGATTTTCACAGCACAGAAATTCGAGGTATTTGAGGCGACAGACATGTCAATCTCCCTGGTGTGACCATGGTACCTTGTATGCACGTATTGACAAGTCACGCCGTCTCCCATAAGTCTGTACAATTATTCTGTGTTCATTAAAATTTTAAATCAATTAATTATTTTTTTTAAATTAGAGCAACATGTAAATCGGGATGTCCAGATGGATTAGATCGGCTCTGGGGCTGGGGCCCAGGTAGCCAGAGTTTAAAGATGCCCCAAGTCATTCTAAACCTGAGACTCACTGTTCTAGTCTAGACCAGATCCTAGAATCATCTGGGGCTCAGTTTCCTTCTAAGTCGGAGTCGTCCGACTAAGGACCTTAAAAATAATTTTTTTTAAAAAAAGTCCCACTACATAAAGTTCTGTACCATTAGCAAGCACCGCAATGACCTTGACATTCACCTCCACCTCTAGCTAGTCCCAAAACACTCATAACTTCCCCAAAGAAGAAAACCGGTACCCTTTAAACTCTTTCCCCTCCACCTCCCCCAGCCCCGGTGACACCAATCTGCTCTCTATCTCTGAGAATTCTCTTGTTCTGGACATTTTTCATTGAAACAGAGTCCCAGGGTCCACAGCCGCCCACCCACCCACCTCTGTCTGGATCTCACTTAGCCCAGCCACTGCCTGCATCTGCACCCGGTTTCTCTGAAGTCCCTCTCAGACACCCGTGTGCAGTGAATCGAAACCAGGATGCACCCCCCGCCCAGGCTTAATGACATCCCTGGGCCTCGAGAACTGTGTGGCTCTCCTGACACCTGTCATAGCCTCCCCCACTCCCCGGTCCCCTGTCAGCCTCCATTAGGGAGGGACCAGTGTAATATGGCATGTGCCTGTCCTGCTCAACCCCGCTCAGCCTCCGAGGGGGACAGCCCTGACACTTCCTTTTCATGGTGGGGAATCTGCAGCCCCCAGGGCAGCTGCGAGGTCCTGATGAGGCCCCACAGGGCCGGAAGCTGAGCAGGGAAGTGGCTTCACTCTCTCTTCACCTGCCCTAGATGCAAACGGGGAGAAATCAAAGCAGGCCATTCCCAGGCCACTCAGGAAACCAGGTCTAGTTCAGAAATCCACCCCTGCACCCCCAAAACCACAGAGCGAGTGCCAACAGGTTCCATGGAAACAGACCCAGGGCTCTATTAAGTTTGAGAGTCAGCGACTCGCAGCTCCCCCTTTTGGAGATGGTCCAAGCAAGTTTACAGATTAAAGGCTCTGAGAAGTCCCCCAAGGGGAAAAAAATGACTCATTTATAATAGATCCAATCGGGGAAATATTCCGGGGTGGGGGCACTTCACCTGCAAATGCATCTTAGAGGTCCCTACACATATTGGATTTTTGTTGCTGTTGTTGTTTAACGAATGTCTGTTAAGGACCTATCAAATGATGGGTGAAATTTGAAGGACTGACAATGTGGTAGTGGAAAAGATCCTTATGACCCTGTACCCAAAGCATGTGCATCCTCCTAGGTGGAGAGAGATGATCAAGAACAGCAGCCTCTGAAACCTACTCTTTCAGTGCCGGAGACCTCTTGATTCAGACCTTGCAGTCCCCTCCCTCAGGAGCTGACACCTCCCTCTGTGATTCTCTACAATACTATGGCTCATTCCAGAAGTAATTAACAGTGTGACAGCCCCAAATAATCAGCTTGAACTTTTACGATCCCTTGGATGGCCAAGGTGCCAGGTTCTGTGTCTGATTTTCCCGGGCATCTTTGCAAGCTCTGAGAAAGAAAAGGAGTCTTTATATTTCTCTCCCTGCCTGACCCCTGTTGTGTGAAGTCCAAAGACGCAATTGCCTTCGGCCACTCTGGGTGAAATTACAATGAATCTTAATGACATATATGGCCTCGTCCTTGGAGCCCCCCAGACCTACCAAAGTAGAGCTACAGAGGCTGAGCTTGTTTTAGGGTGGAGCTACGGGGATAGAACCCAGGGGCACTTAACCACTGAGCCCCATCCCCAGCCCTTTTTTAATATTTTATTTAGAGACAGGGTCTCACTGAGTTGCTGAGGCTGGCTTTGAACTCGAGATCCTCCTGCCTCAGCCTCCCGAGCAGCTCGGATTACCAGCGTGCACCACTGCGGCACCCAGCTGAAATCCACATTTTTGCAAGCATTCCAGGTGATTCTTATGCAAGATGGAGTCTGACATCCTGTAGACTGGATCCATTATTGCTTTTTAGAGTCTGGGATTAAACCCCAGGTCCAAACTCTCCTAGCTCTGTGACCTTCAGAAAAATCACTTATCCTCTTTCAACCTCAATTTCCTCATCTCTAAAATGGGAATAATACTGGTGACTACTTCAAAGAGTTAACATGAGCATGGATGAGATTTTCTTCAGAAGACATGTATCCCAGAAGGGATCCCTACCATGATGACCAAGAGCACAGAGCTTGTCTATCAAGCTGCATCTCAGACGGAGGCTCCTTCCCAGTCTCCAACCCCAACTCCAACGCTCTCCTCCTGTCTCGTCCCTCCACTCCTTGCAGGGCCTCTTGCAAACGCAGCTCACTTGCTAAACACAATAGGCATTTCTCTTTCCTCCCAGGCCCACGCCTGGACAACATTTCCCAGCGTCCTTTGCAGTCGGAGCTCTGATCAATGGGACGTGGAGGGAAGCAAGTTACAGCCCTGCAATCCTGGTCCATAGAACCCTCCCGCCCAGGCTTCCACTCCTCCCTATCCACCTTCCTGCTGTCAATATCCAGGGCCGGTGGCTGCTCCATATTGGAGGTGGTGGAGCCTTGGTGCTGTATTCCACAAGGACCCCACGGGGCAGAGTCCTGGTCCCCACCTCCAATTGTACATCCCCCTCTCTGGAAATCTTCTCCTGAGCTCCTGGCTTCTCCCCCCCCCATCCTTACCTCTGCAGCTCTGGGGGCTTTGGGGTCTGAGTCCCCCTTTGTTGGTGGGCAGGCTGGGGCTGTGCACTGCAGGACTCTCTGTAGGACTCCGTGCAGCATCTTGGGCCTCTAAACTCGACTAGAAAACTCCCACCTCCCAACTGTGGCAACCAAGATTGCCTCCTGGGGTTGCCAAGTGTCAGTGGGGGCCAGGAAGAGAGAAGGAAAACCCCCTCCCAGTTGGGACTCACTGGTCTACACAAATGTCACCTTCTCAAGAGTATTTCCCTGGCCACCAATCTCAGATCATCCCCTGGGCTCATCCATATGCCCTAGAATCCGCCAGGCTGGCCCTAGTTCACACAGCTCAGCGCACGCTGGGCGTGATGGTGAGAGGGTTTCCTTGGCTACTGGCTGCGGCCCCTGCTGGGCCAGGAGCCCCACAGTGATAAGCAGGGTCTGGTCACTTTGCTCTCTGCTTTGCCTCTCACACCCAGCCCAGCGCCCGACTCCTGGTCGGGGGGTTGCAGAAATATTTGCTGCATGAGGGGACCTGGCTACCAGCGTTGGGAGGCTGGGACAGGAGGATTAGAACTCGGGGCGGGGGCGGGGGGGGGACTGCATGACTCTCAATTAGCTGAGTGATTCAGAGAGAAGAGAGCGATTCAAGCAAGTGGGGAGAAGGGTAAAGACCAACTCTGCAGGCTGTGGGCATGTGGGAGACATAATCACCACTGCTCCATCAATAGCAGCTCCCAGCTGGGAGGAAGTGGAGTCCAGGCTGAGCCTCTGTAGAGGCCACCGGCCTTCAAGGACCAGCCACCAGCAAGCTGCTGAGCCACGGACCCTCACAAACACATGTGGGGTTTTCAGCCTCACTGCGGTTGAACAAATAACAAGGAGTCTGCGAATATTCTCGCTGTTCTGATTTTTGTAATGATCAGAACAGGCTAAACATTCGCTAACATGTAAACAAATCAGGGAAACTCTGTTACCATCAGTGGCCGCGAAATGTATTGTAAAATTACTGTTTAAATAAAAAATAAGTAGTAGAGAGTTCGTGGAATGCACCGGCTGACACTCTGAATTCTTGCTTGATGTGGCTTCTATCAACTGCCAGTTGAATAGGAAAGGAAGCTCTCTCTCTCCGTTTTAAAAGCGATAACCTGCCTGGCAATTACTCTGTCCCTTCTTAGCCCCTCTCCTGACATTCCCAGACCACCTAGAAGCAGCCAAGGAAAGCCCCAGAGCCTAGTAGAGATGGTTCAACTGTCCGAGCATCCCAGACCATCTGCAGGTCCGAGTTTGGGTATTATTTTCCTGTTTCTTTGAGCAAAAGGGAAAATAAAAGTAAAAGAAATGAGGAAAGCAAACAAGCTTATAAAAACCAAAGCTAAAAATAAATGAATACATTAGAAAGACGGCTGTGAAACGAAATTAAATCAAAATGTGCTGCTGCAATGTTTTTCCAGAGTCTCCAACTTGACAAATGGGTGAGTCTTCATGGCATCCATCAAGGAAGAGGGAGATTTTTCTTTTCTCCTGCCTTCCCACCAGTGCCCGGGTCTCAGATCAGACCCTGGGGAAACAGAAGCATCCCCAGTTCCAAACACGGGGGGCCGCGTGGCTCCCAGGAAGTCCTTCCCCCAGTGGAGAACTCTGGGAAGTCCACCCTTCTGGCCCTGTTCTGGCCCCTGCACCTACAAGGCACAGCCAGCTCCACCCTAGGACCGCCCTTCTCATAGGTGACAACAGGGTGTGACTTTGTCTGCAGGTTGAAAACTGCCAGTTCCTTCCTCCATTCTGGAAGGGAAGCCACTTGGGGGCTTGGTCCAGCAGCGTAGGCAACATCTGAGAGTCTGTTAAGAATGCTGATTTCCTGGCCCCACCCCAGACCTACTGAGTCCAAAATTCTGAGAGTGAAGCCCCACTGTGTGTTTCCACCAGCCCTCTGCAGCTCTGGCGGCACAGCTACGTCTGAGCAGCCCTTCCTCCCATTAAGACAGATTTCAGCAAGTTGTTTTATCCTCTGTGCCAAGGTTCAGCTGTGATTTGAGTGTGTCCTCCGAGGGTTTGTGCTGGGAACTTGGTCCTCAGTATGGCAATGTAAAGAGGTGGAGGGACCTTCGAGAGGTGGCTCCTCTCCTGTCTTGCTCCAGCCTCCTGAAATCACCTTGTGACCTCTGTCTCCTGTGACTGCTCCCCCATGATGCTGTGTCATGAAACCAGGACTGGCACCATGGTGTTTGGACTTTCAGCCTTCACAACTGTGAGCTAAACAAACCTCTTTCCTTTATAAGATACCCAGCCTCAGATAACTCCTTATAGTAACAGAAGACAGACAAATGCACCCTGTCTCAGTTTCCCCTCTATAAAATGGAGCTACTAAAAGTATTCACATCACTGAGTGATTAAGGAACCAGTGTGATATGATGTGACAGGGGTTTTTTGGAAGCCTGGGAAGGTCAGGAAAAGGCAGCAGTAGTCACTGATGCTGGCCCTATTTATGAAGGTTTGGTGATAACAGAGAGGATGTGTCCTAGACTTGTGTACAGCTCTACTTAGATTCACCTGCTCAGAAGGGGAAATAGTTAGAAAGCCCCGCAGGGACTCGAAGTGACTCCCAGGCAGCACCTAGAAGCTCCCAACCCTGCCTGCTGCTGAGACTCAGGCAAGGCCTGGTTATTCTCACCTCCTTCTTTAATAGGCCTCCTGAGAATGCTGAGGGACAGCCCCTGCTGGGGGTTGGGCCAGGGAGCTTGGGTTAAGGGGACAGGGGGCTGAAGCCCTCCACAAGAGAAGATTCTTGTCTGGGCTCCTTGTCACCAACTACCCCCCACTGAGACATCTAGCTCTGCTATGCAGTAAGACAACCCTCCCTGTTGGCCACTGAGCACCAGATATGCAGCTAGACCAACTGAGACAGGCTGCTGAGAGTATAAGACACACATGGGTTTTAAAAACTTAGCATGAAATAAAAGACGAGCACATAAAAGACTCTAACATGTCGCATTATTAATATTTGAAGGCTGGGGTATAGATCAATGGCAGACCATGCTCAGCATGCATGAGGCCCTGGGTTCAATCCCCAGAACCGAAACCAGCATTTACCAGCTAAGAGGGGCCTGGAACATGGGAAGTGGGGTAGGGAGAGGAGATAAATGTCCTGCTACTTTCACTATGGCAACCCATCCCCAAACCAAGCCCACAGCCAAAGGGCAGAGGCATCTCCAAAATATCCCACCATGCAAAAAGAAGTTCCCTGCTAAAAATGTCTCCCCAAAGTTTTCAGCAGAACTGTGTTGCTCTATAGAAGCTCCATTCAGAGGCAGTGGGTGGGGGGGGGGTGCATCTGCAGGCATGAAAAGAGAATCTACTTCAGTGCCTTGAGCTCGACACAGTAGGATCCCTCCAAGTGTGAGAGTCCCAAACCATTTGCACTTGAGTCACTCAGATACATGGTTAGAAGGCAGATTACCAGTCTGTACCTCAGACTTTCTAAACAAAAAAAAAAAAAATCTGTGAGGAAAAATATCAACCACTCATATCACAACAAGATTTCCTAATAAGTAAAGAGCTCCTACAAATTAATAAAAAGATGTTCCAATGGTCAAAGGAAATGGGCACAGGGCTCACAGAAAGGAAAATGCAAATGGCTCATAACTTTATGAGAACACACTCAACCTCAGAACAGGAAGGCTCATAAAAGTTGGGGTAAGAGCATTCTTAGGCATTATCATGAAGGTTGGTTTAGCAATACTATGGAAATGTGAAAGGTACAAGCCCTCTGACCCAGCACCTACAATTCCACTCTAGGTGTGCAATGTCTATATAAAAATGTATTCACTGAAGCTGCATTTGTCACAGCAAAAGAGTGCAGACAACCTCAGTGGCTGGGAGACCAACTAAACAAAATAGGGACCATCTCACAGTTAAATACTAGGAGTCCAGGAAAAGGATCAAGACAGCTCTGTTGGTGTTACTAAGAACAGTCTCCATGGATCATGGATAAGAAGGGGGAAAGAACATGTAGACTAGCATGTATAGCAGCTACCACATGCATGCAATCAGAGAATACTCATGACATTCATTTGTTATTAACGTTACTGAACACAACCTGGTGCTAGGTGTTTAGCTAGATGCTCAGGATGCTGTGGTCAACAAAACAGACCAAAATCTCAGGGAGCTCTCACACTAAGGGGTGGAAGTATTAAGTACATAGAGTGATAAGTACTTTGAGAAAACATAGTAAGGTAGAAAGGGTTTAAGAAATGCCAGAGAGAGGGGGAGGTAAGAAGAGGGCAGGGTTGCGGCTGAACCAAGAAGTCACAGAAGTCCACCCCCGGAAACCAAAAAGGACTTTATGATTTCTTCCACCAATAAAGGACGGTGGAAGTGATAATATGAGACAGGCTAGATCACCAAAAAAAAGAAACAAACATGAACTCCATCCATGTTCCGTTTGGCTCTTCACCCTGAGAACCCAGCGCCATGCTGTGAGGAAGCCCAAGCAGCCACTTGGAGTCCAGCTGGTGCCTCTGCTAAGGCTTCAGAGGTACCCGCCTCCAGAGACCTAGGCCAGTGAGCTTCTCAGTGACTCCAGCCCCCAGCCCCCATAGAGCAGGGCCACACCAACCACCATGTCCTGTCCTCAACACTGACCCCCATATGTGTGATACAGTGGTTGCTGCTGGACATTTCTCAGGTTCACGTGTTTGTAGCGTGATCAAAACTGAACAGGGACATTTCACAAATGTCCATGATCTGTCTTAGTCTGTGGTCACCTGGGAGCACAGTGATTAGTTTACACCCTGTGTCCTCTAGGAACCTGGGTCTCCCCTACACACGGGGTCATCTAGCAGAGACTGGCAAGAGGAACAGATACCTCTGCAGAATGTTTCCGAGGGCCGGGTGCTGAGCTGGGCACTGCTTTAGTTAATGCACTCAAGCCCCCCTGCCCCAGGCACAGGATGACCATCACCCCACTTCCCAGATATGGCAACAAGGCCGAGAGAGACAAAGTAGGTTCACCCTGGCTCATCCCATCAGCTCCTAAGCAGCAGAGAGAGCAGAAACCCCACCCCGGAGCTGTCCGCGTGGATTCTGTAGCCCACGCACAGAACCAGGCCACCACACAGCCCAAGCAGCCGACGGGAAGATCAATGCCCAGATGGGCACCTTCCTGTTGCAATGGCCAGCTCCAAGGAGCGGATGCCCCTTTGCCAAACCTTGCCAGGAACCCCAAAAGTGGGCTTTCGAGAACCAAGTTTGACTCCTACTCATGAGCCGCTGGAAGCCTTTCCCGGCCTTTCTGGGTAAAACTGTCTTCCTCTGGAAAAAGGAGCCCCTGCGGACCTGCTGTCTCTTCCCCTCTGAACTGTGAAATCGTTCTAGCAAAACTTCATCAGGCTCCAAGTGGGATGAGGGATCATGAGCTGAGCTCGCTCCCCCCTCCCTCGTTCCCAAACTGAAGCAGCACGGGCAAATTAGATGGCTCCAGTTAATGACCCGAGGAGCAGAGGAGAGGGAACGGTGGGCGCACACTCACTCGGGCCATCGACCCCCACTATGACCTGGAAGGAGTCTCCTACCCTAGGCAGGGGCACGGCTCCTTAAAAAATGGGCCGCCACCCAGGATCTGAATCATGGCTGTCACTGTTACAGATCTCCAGCTTCTGCCCACAAGACCTGGGAGAGACCTCAGGGGACTGTGACAATGGAGAAAGAAAGGTCCCTTTCCCCCTGCAGGAGAGGGTAGTAGGGGTCGGTGACTACCACCAAGGCTTCTGAGGGTCAGGTCTTGGCTGTGTGGCCTGGGGCAAACTGCTTAACCTCTCTGTGTCTCAACCTTCTCATCTGTAGATTGGGAACATGAAAATGCCTACCTCCCTAGGGTGTCCTGAGAATCAGGGGGGCTCAGGGACATAAATGATTCCCAACAGTCTGCACACGGCATCGGCTGTAGAGGGTCGCACTGACGGGCTGGTTCAGGCTGGTTCGGGCTGGTTGGTACTGTGGGGAGAATTAGATGACGCCGGC